CATGTCCTTTGCTAATCTAGGCTACATTTTAAGACAGAGAACTTCTCATAAGAAGTTTAGCAGAAAGTATATATGGATTTGAAGAGTTCAAAACTTCAATCCAAGACACAGCAGTTATTCACTTAAGAAGTTACTAATTGTGTAATCATAAATGAAAGTCTTAATTCATTTTCCAAGTTTCTGTTTATCATCTTTAAAGTGAGGATAATAAATCATGATTGTATAGTTTTGTGGTCAAGATAAGACACAATTTATGAAGTGATTTCTACCAACATTCTTCCTTATTAGTTTTAGAATTGAATTTGTCTATGTTAGAAAGAACTGACATCCCTTCATAGAACAATGAGCATAACTTACTTTTATGATTATATCATGAGAGACCACCTTATTTCTCATTTAAAACCTTTAACAAATAAAGAACATGCATCATCAAAATAATGCTGGAATATGTGTAGGAAACTTAGGAGCCCCCCAAAAAAATCAAGTAAAGACAAATGTTGAAGAGGGAGAAGATATTGGAATAAAGAATGAGTTACAAAATTCTGAGCAAACATTAGGAAATAAAATGTGGTATTTACATATATGTATATTAAGCCTATTAAAGGAACCCATGTAATAAAGGGCATGACACATGTGAAATCATAGTGCTAAATTTACAAAAGGTTATGTGCTGTATCTTCACTTCTTTGCCCTTTTCCCACCAAGACTGAGCTGATGTTAGGGTAGCACACTTTTTAAAATAAATCATAATCCATATTCTACTTACATCATTACAAACCTTGAAAGCCTCTTATTTTTAAGTCTAATTTCATATACTCTTCCAAATATATATTTATTACCATGTCTGGACCTGTAACAGTTGAGATATGATCCTGAACAAACCTGTTCATTATATAACCCACACTGCCATGTCTTCTATAAAAAATATAATTTCAAAGATCATCAGAGTAATACTTGACATTTTTTTCTTTTAAACTTATGATAAATACCTTAACAGCAAAGGATGTACATGATTTGAATTTTTAAATAATATGCAAAGAAAGAAAATAGGTTTTGGAATCAGTTAAACCCATATTTGAACCCTTGCTCCATCATTTAAATTTCTTTTGGGAGAAAGGAACTGACTTTTTTAACTTCTTTCCTCCCATATAAATGAGGACCTTAGAATTTTATAGAATGAAATTAAACACTCTATGTAAAGCTATATACAGTATCTGGTATCCAATAGCATCTTAGTAATGGCAAAAAAATATGTTTTCGAGAAATAGGGTACATATGGCCATGTTCAAGATTCTTGACTTACTAAGTAAGCAATGGGAAACTCCTGAAGATTTCTGTTGTTGTTCGGGGAAGTACACTCATTGTAATAGTATCTAGATTAACAATTCTGTAACCTTCTGTGTGAAGCATATTGTCTAAAGATCAATTGATTGAAAATTAATGTAGGTATGACATTTCTGAATTTCCTGTAGCCAGTCTATAAGTCAAGCCTAAGCACCACTGATCAGAAGACAAAAGGCTCAAGCTGCCAGGGAATGATAAATTCAATGGAAGACATTGCTACTGTCTGATTCCCGGCAGTGAACATATTTGATGACTTCCTGCCTCCTTTATAATGTTGAAAAGAGAGTTCTTCCAGCAATAATCCACAAATTAGGAGAAACTCATTCAGTCTGTCAAAAAATTAAATGGTTGAATGTCCTCAAGAATCTAGCCAGATGTTTTACTAATACTGCTATAAAAAGTGAGTAGTTTTTCATTGCCTTTTCCCTTCTCCATTCTAGAAAAATAATTTCACAAATTTAAGTTATATATTTTATCATATATAAATATGTGAAATTTTCCATATATATTCACACACACATATGTATGAAAGGAAAATTATTATGCAAGGATATAAAGTCTTGTTCTGAAAAAACGACATGAAAATAGTCTTGTCGTATGTTAAGGAAGAAAGTTGACTGACTTGGTGGGAATTTTATTTGCTTTTACCTTTTCCATTCTGGATAACTAAATAGGGAGGGCCAGTTCATCCCTAATTGGAATTTGGATCTGGTTGAAATAACAGAATTAAATAAACTTAAATTTATATCATGGCTTACATAACGATTCTAGTGACAAAATAAATAGAGCCATTGCCTTATAAAATGGTAATGAATATTGTATACTGTGCTTGAAATGTATCTAGATGTATCAGAGAATTTCAATTTAGACATACATAGCCTGAATTTGTATTTCATTCTTCCTTTTTAGGGATTAGTACTTTCAAATATAAGAACACCTTAGCATCTTCTCTCTACTTTGTATTTTAAAAAGCTATAATGTACTGATTATTCTTCTTCTCAATATGTCAAAATTCCACTACCCAGACTAAGGTATTTATTCCCTATTAAAAAGCCTCGAGTAGTCTGTTGGGTCACAAAAGTGAACAAAATATTTTTAGCCAAAGATGTACATAGATGCCAGTTGAAATATTCTTCTTAAAATTGTTACTTAGCTTTATTAATATTCCATATAACTGCTACCCTGCCTTACATATTTTTGCACTGAATACTGAGCTCTACCATGTAGTAAAGAAAGGGAAGTTTAGTTCAGGAGAAAAGTCAAATATTAGTTGCTGTGTGTATGAGATAGCAACACAGAAATTACAATATGGGGAAGAAGAGTCAATTAAATGGTTATTTATCTCTATGTGGTTAAAATACTCAGCTAAAGAAAAAACTACAAGGAATTGATTAATAATAGATATTATGAAGGCAATAAGATTATAATGTGAGGTTAAATATTCTTTGCAAAAATAATAGAGAAAAGTGACCTTTTGATTTGGATAACACTTTTAGTTTTACTCATTGCTATCATGCTATTCAAATTAATAGAAGTATATGAATCCATTAAAGTGTAAGATAGTATTCAACTTTTGAAACATAAAAGACGTTTTTGCTTACATCAGAAAGCTTGTTAAACATTTCACTCTCCTGAGGTGAATGTTTCTTTGGTCATCAGTGACTGGGAATCCTATGGTAACACAGAAAAAGTACCCCTAAGGCACACGGTCCTGAGATGTGCCTACCAAGTAACGTGACCGATTTGTCAGCAAGCCCTGGTGCCCTGCCTTGTTCAGCTGTGGGAGGCCACCACATTCCTTGCCTCCTTCGCTCTGACCTCTTGTTTCTGTCTTCACATATGCTACAAGTGACCAAGCCCCTTGCCCCTTTCCTGTAAAACCCTAGCGATTGCACTGAACCCACCTGGATAATCTAGAATGATCAACAAATCTTTGCCATGTAGGGTAAGATATTCACAGGCTCTAGGCATTAACACAGACATCTTTGTGGGCCATTATTTAGCCTACCATGCTGAGCACGAGCTCTGATAATGGAACCTGAATCCCCTGAGACCACAAGCTGGTGATATTTAGATGTTCCAACACTACCTTTATATGGCAGTCTTTTGCCAAGATGTATTGAATGCAGTAATGAATCATTCAGCCTAAAAAAATCAGTTTACTCTTCTGCTCATTTATTAGGAAGCCTCATTTGATAAATCAAATACAATTTTCCTGAAAAAGTGAAAGAAGTTTGTAAGGAATGGGCATTGCACATTAAACAAATGATTCGTGCTGTGGAAGGATGTACGAGAATGCACATACTTTCAGCTACATTGAAATCATAACAAATTTCATTTTTTGTTTTAAAGTTTTATAAAGTAAGCCTAACTCTGGCTCATATTTTTTACATATTTTGCATGGTTTTTACCAAGAGAGTCTTTAAATTTTTGACAGTTTATTTTTCCAAAAGGTACTATGTTCTAGCAAATATTACAAAGTTAGTACTTCATTATCCCTTCTCTGCAAAACAAAAAGTCTAAGTAAGTTTAACAATTCAGTTTTTGCATTTCATAAAAACAATACTTAATGGTGCTTGAATTAAAATGAACTAAGTAATTGATGACATCCCTTCTTAATGATACACTAACTCTGGGTCATTCCTTTTTCTATCAGTCTCAACAGCTCAAGGCCACTTGCATAGGAGGCACCCTCTGGCATTGTAGAGATCAACTAAATGGGAATGTGTCGGTGCTAAGTCAGGGAGAGACAGCTTTCTGCTGTCTTCCAACTCCTTTCGTTCTTGTACCCTGAAACTCTTCAATTTTTTGGGAGTGTTTAATTTACATCGAGGGTTACAAATGTATAGTGGTAGGATTTTACTACCAAAGAACTATTGTTATATTAGATTAAAACGTGATAAAGCATGGGTTACATGTACAAAACTTTGCCTACGAATTAAAAAACGAACATATGGCCTTTATTTTGATAAATGTATTCAAGTATAACTACCTTAAATATCAGCTTTGCATGAAGAAATATTGGTGTAAAATGCCATGAGATTCAAGGTTAAAAAATAGAGAAATGCATGTTATCAAGCTATAAAAAGTGCATAGTTTTTTAAAAAGTATAATGCCATATACTAGAATATTTTGGTCCATGAATAAAATTGTAAAAATACTTAAAAATATATTAAGAGAAGTATATTAAAAAGTCTTCCTCAGACTTTCTGAGAATGAAAGAAAAAAGGAAAAGAATATGATCTCCTAGACAAATTAAAGACCTGAAGGTAAATGTAAATTTTATAAGTTTTTGAGTTGATTTTACCTCATGTGAACAATAGCTGTCTTGTAAACGGATGTATATGAACTTTAGAAAAGCAAACTTTCAAATGGAATTTATTTCAGTCATGCCACAGACTTGGAGAAATGTCACATTTTTATTCAGAATTATTTGTTACTTAGAAGCTTAAGTGGTTTGACCAGTGAAAAGTTAACATCAAAATGAAAAATACTGAGAATAGCATGATTTAAAGGATGCCAATGACTTAAAGAACCCAGGGGATAGGTATTTGCATACTAACTGTAATGTTCCTACTGTTACATTACCTTCAGCTTGAAGATCTGTCAGAAAGAGAAATTTGACATCATCTGTGACAATCAGACAGGAAGGAAAAATGCCAGTAAAGTGAGTTGCTGTTTAAAGCTATTTTTATCTCCGAAGATGTACAAATGCAGCACTTGAGTCTCCATTAACCTGGGTAGTTTGTTTCCTTCATTTATGTTAAATATGCTAATTGTTGTGTTCCTGATTTATTTTTTCTCCTTTCTCTGTAGGTTTCTTGTTTCCTAATATACGTCAACAAAAGTTGTGGTTCTCTTCTACAGTTAATTTTTATATTTGCTAAGATAAAGAAAGGTTATAAAGTGGAGAAAAAAACCACTGAGTTCTCTCTCAGTGAAACTTTTCAAAATTATTAAATGTTAAAGACATAAGACATATATGACCCTTGCAAAACTTATTTATTTTTGTGATACTTATTAAGAAATTTGAAAATAGATATTAAATGCTGGGTAAGGAAGCAGCTGTCACTTCCTTGAACACATGGACTCCTTGCTTGAATTTCCCATTCTCCAGCACACTGCTAATTGAGTGTGAACAGCTAAGTTGTTGGATTCCAAATTTTTTAATGCAATACAACTGGTTCTAGCTGGCACAATTAGCAAGATAACTGGTGGCTTTCACGCAGTTCCCATCTGGCCTGGCTCTTCTCCGGACAAATAATATGAGAACTGCTGGCCTTGATGATACCTGCTTAATGAAGGAAACAGAAAGAAAATCAGCCAAAACCCCATGAAACACTAAGTGCAGTTTTGGCTCCAGATATATGGTGAATTTTCATGGCAAATTATATGCATACAAAAAGTTACCCTGATTATGCATCACAATTATCCAGGAAATACATACATGCATACAAATGAGAGGGACCAAGCAAGAGCTCTGTTCAAATTACAATGAAAATTCAAGTAACATAAAAAAAAGAGAAAGAAAGAAATGACAGTGACACATCGTACATTGACTTACGGTAACACATGGCAGGTAAACTTTAGCCACGTCATTGTACTTTTAAATCAGCTACCCTCTTTTTCCACAATTCAAATTCAATAGATTTCCTTCTTAACATTTATATAAATGCATTTTTTAAAGCATAAAACACATTTCTCCCTCACATCTCAAATGAGAAATATCCCATTTTCATTTGATAATGCATAAGATTTAAGAATCTTTGTCTTCTGTAAACTTTCTATTGAGTAGCTAATTATCACAATTTAACTATTACTTAGAGGTAATATTTGTGTGTTTAATAAAACTGTTGCAGAAAAAGCACTTTCCAAGTATTTACCGTAATGTTTCAAAACATGAACAATGTGTAAGCATATGTGTATTGATTCATCTATTCCAGGAAGAAGTATAAAAACAGTCAGGGTTAAAAGCAGATACACTTGTGTTTGAATTCTAACTGCTCATTAATATATGTGAGATATTTTGCCAGTTATTAGCATGTCTGGGCCTTTTCAGTCATTAATAATACAGGATTAAAAAACAGACATCATTTTCAAGATTAAATGAGGTAAAACATATGACATGCTTAGCACCATGTGGTGGTATAGATTGTGAATATTCAATACATTTTGGTGCATTTCAGGGCTATTTTAGACATTGTCTCTCTGTTTATTCATATATAGCAATAATCTACTTCCACAGAATTATAAATATACAGTCAGCCCTAAACTTAAAAATTTGTACAGCAAATTAAAAACATTACTCCTTAAAATAATTATATTTTACCCAGCTTCTGAAAAGTAAGTGCTGGGGTGCCACCAGCCTTCCAACCTATCAAGTAGTCAGAATAAAACCTCTCAGATCCAACATGCAATCAGTTGGCAGACAATGAGCTGAGGGCATTCCAGGCACTGCGAAACACCAGCAGAGTCATTCCTTCTGAGAACTGGGCAGCTTCTCCCTTTATAACAATGTCAGCAACTAGTGGACCTCAAATAGGGTGCTAAATATGCCAGTATCTCTACTTCTTTTATATATGATATTCTTTATCTATAGACTATCTATCATATTCTAGGAGATCTAATTCAAAACAAGATTTTTCTTCTGTGCTTGGTTCTGTACCATCTCTCAAACTTTACTTTCTTCTCTTTTTACTGTCTTCCTACATTAACCAAGATAATAACAATAACTACCATTTATTTGAACACTCCATTCCAAAAAGACTTCTTTATTCCTTTTGCTTTTGGTTTAAGCAAAATCTGGCTGTTGCTAAAGGATATGATTTGCCTTTATGCTTTCCAGAATGGATGGTGTCCATTATCTCCAGTTTCACATATTCAGGGCTGAGGGTGAGGTCTGTGGTGTGTCACTGCCGGGGATGCTTTCATACCATTCCCCTTTTCCCTCACTGAGAACACCCTTTGAAGCTAACACACTTCAACCATACCTCTCAGTAACCTTCTTATGGCTGTTACCTACCAGCTTCTCTAAGGCTGCTGCCCTATTCCACTGCCGGCTTTGTCTGCCACTATTTGGGGTGTGCTCATTCATTCATTATTCATTTATATGCTTGACAAATATTTCTTGGACCAAACACTATGTTTTTGGTGGAAAAGTTACATTTATTCCTATCATCAGAAAACTTACATCCTAATGGGGAAACATATGTTTGTCCTTGAATGATTTTCGTCAAGATTTTATTTCACAGTGTTTTTCTTGGACGGCTGTTCCTCATTCAAAATGGCTACATGGTGTGGCCAGGCTGAGGCTCAAAAGTCCCCTCTGCCCTATTCATTAACACAGATTCCACAGGTCCTAAGTACATTTTAATTCAAATACTCTTCTAACCACCAAATTTCAATCTACAAATAGAGACATTTTTAAACATGTTCATTTTAAGAGACTGTATGATGATTTTTGCACTATCTGATAAAATTCCTATTATTTGACTCATACGAAATATATGCTTATTAGAGTAACAGGTTTTATAGCACACAAAAGCTTTTCAATGTAAAATTAACCCAAGATTGGGTCTCATTCTCTATTTATGAAAGATAGAAATTGAGCAACTTAGATTTGTAAAATGTCTGTTTGAATGAAAAACCACCATCTCAAAATGGTTTTGGATGAAATTGTGTGTCACCAAAATTGAGAAAATCAAGGGAGAAAGGAAAATCAGCTGCCACCACTGGGGAAGTAAATTTGAGACAGGACATATAATGGAGGATAACAAAATGTCACAGGAGTGACATAGCCCCTCTCTGTGTCCCGAGGACAGCCATCATCACCTGAAAACCCAGCTCCGACTGTACCAACACAAGGGAACCCATCGAGCCCGACACAAAAAGAACTGCAGCAGATCACAGAAAATCATAGGATATGAGCAAAGTGGTCCCTTCATGCTGGCTTAAGATTAGTCACCTTGATATATAAATGTAAAATTTTATAGGAATGACTAGATATGAGACTCTATTTAATTATCAGTCACTAATAGAATTCTTCAGTTAGCCCATCCCATTCTGCAACTAAGTCATTTGCACACCACAGCTACATAAACCAAGGTGCTGTGGTTTTTTTTGGACAACAGATGCTTTCTATAAATGGGGGCTTATTTCATTGGGATCTTTGTTTACTAAGGGGAATAATACATGATATATTTGCATCTCAGAAAGTTTGTATCTTAAACCTGATTTATTATTTCTACATCACATCTCCAAAAGTATACTTTCTTTAGAAAACTTAAGTCTATAAATTTTTGACTGCTTTGGAAAAGATATTATTCTGGCCTGACAGATGCCTAGATTTAAATAAATCAGCCCAGAACTGGAAGCATCCCAGTCTGAAGAGAAATAAAGGCTTGTCTCAGAGTGGGTTAAAGACTTCTCAAAATACAATAAATAAATATTTTCAGGGTCATCACATGTTAGAAATCCTTAATCAAAACTTTTCAAAACTTTTTTGAGATGTATAATTGTGAATCTGGTAATTTCATATAATGAAAAACTTAGGAAATAGCTCATTCATCACTATTCTATCATAATAACTTTTCAGTAATAGACTAATGTTGCATAAAGAAAAAATTCACTATGCTCCATAGAATGATGAGCAATATCTCCCTTTTGCCTTTATGAGAATTTAAGAATATGCTAATAGTGGTAACAGTGTTAGTTATATTAATAAATAATTTGCTGCTATCAAAATTACACCCCACTTTGTGTTGCTATTGCAGTCCTGTGTAGGAAAAAAATATATAATTCTTGTTGACCTTTTGCAGTTTGATTCATGGTGCCAAGGTGATTTAAATGACGTAATTCAATAAATATATATAGCTCAAGTATTACCATACATTATAGAAGAAAAAGATCACAATGCTATTGTCAAGGGTAGATGTTGTTTCTACAGGTCACCAACGACTGAGGCAATAGTGTGGTCTGAAAATATGGACATACTTTTAACAAACCAAGGTAAGATCCAATAATAAGTTTAAACATACAATGATTAAAAGTAAGTTGTTAAATTCTGGAAGTTGTAGACATAAAGTACAAGTCTTATCTATATTTGAATAACGGTCCCAATAGTCACAGATTTATACAGGCTCAGAGTCTAAATGGAATTAAGTTAGAACTAAAATATGACAAGATTATAGAAACTCTGAACATTAAAACAAAAACGAAATCCCAAATAAGAAGAAATTTGTCATTTCCTTACACTCATTAACATTTGAGGTATATAATGACTATATTTGTTATAAATTAAAGAAACATACAAACTATTAAAAAGTTGAAACTTTAAATAAGTCACTTGTTTTTCATATCCTGTGGGCTAAAATAAAGTTTTTAAAATATTTATTTCAACTGAGCTAGTCTTATTTTTAGTGCATACAAAATCACACTTAAATGTATGTGTAGATATGAATGTACATCTGCAGATGTGAATTTGGATCTAATATGGTGGTTCAATAAGCTAATTTTGGCCAATTATAAAAAAATCCAGAATTTGTTATGAAGTAATTATTTACAAAGGTATCTAGAGCTTGTTTGTGGTATAGATAATCCTGCTTTACAATAATTCTATTTCATACAGGGAGAAAACTGATGTTATATAGTCATTTATAGACTACATTTTAAATGTAATATTGTTTGTATTAGTCACATGTCATTTTCACTTTTACTTCATACAGTAAATATCAGAGTATTGGAGAAGATTAAAACATGATCAAACTTCATAAATTCTTCATAGATGTTTATTAATATATAAAGTTAGATTTAATTAGATGCAATTACCCTCTGATTTTATGTTTCTTAAGTAACTAATTCCTAAAGCATAGATATAAAATAATCCACATTACTCCTAGAATCCAACTAAAGATGTACAATAAAGACATCAAGGAAGTGGAATTGCATTTTTGTAAGTTTTGAATGGCATGTTTCTTTCCTCCTTAAATATGTAACCAGTGAAACAGATCAGGTTTGCTAAGAGCCTCAGGAAATAAGCTAATTTTGGCCAATTATAAAAAAATCCAGAATTTGTTATGAAGTAATTATTTACAAAGGTATCTAGAGCTTGTTTGTGGTATAGATAATCCTGCTTTACAATACACCACCTCAGCAGGTGGTGACTTGGCTGGCTCCAGAGTAGGGGAGCTCTAGAGGACAGAACCACAGAACAGAGGCATGGAAAGTAGGGAGATAGAGACAAATACTTCCATCTGCATTCCTCCTAGGATTTTTTATTTCATGCCCACATAAAATAGAAAAGTCATAGATTCATCTGAATAGCTGTTAGGCTTTTGCTTTGCTTTTTATAATACCAGCGAAACAGCTTACATGCATTTGAATGCTTCAAACAGCTAAAGGACTCACTGAATTCTCTAATTGTTTTGTCTACTTGAGGACGTGCCTTGCTAGTAGTGGGCACAGGCGCTAGTGCAGGTTGCATCACCTATTGCTAACGTATCCATTTGTAAGCCCCTGTTGGGTCTAACCAGTCATCATTCCATCTTGTAGAGAATATCCTCACATGGTATGATTTTAATGGCATGTAGCATATCATTCCATATGACATCTTTGAACATTCAATGTATATATACTGCATAAAAGAGTAGTTCAATAAAATAGTGTGTCCAAGACAAAGACAACTAGCTCCTTTTAATTTTTTATTCTCTTCCATTGTGTGCTACACCTAGCAATGGAAGTTAGGAGAGATGTTAATTGTTAGCTCAGAGTATCCTTCATTAAAATTGCAGGATAGGAGAAAATAGTAAGTTTCTTTATCTCTAACTTCCCATCTTTTGGGGATGAATTTAGATAATCCTCACCACAAGAAAGCTTTCATATGCCTTAATGGCACATGTATATAACAGACCTGAATCTACAACATTCTTTCATTATTATTAGAACATACTTTACTCTATATAAAATAGACATTAGCATATATTCAGTTTAGACCCCTCAAATTCATTGTTATTTGGACCAAACTCATGGAAAATTTTAATTGAGTGTTACTAAGAAGATTTTTATAACCTAAATTTGTGTCACAGAAGCTTCTTGGATGTATTTTTAAATGCAAGAAATGTGAGTTCATTGAATTTTTTATAGTGCTCACATATTAACGACATCCACACTCTCCAATATTTCTACTAAGAATTTTAATTGTACCTGATAACCTTTTGCAATGACTTGTTATTTCACCTCTGTTTCAAATAATAATAAAAAAAATTATATCTATTTTTAATTCAGTGTTTTTAGACACTTTAATCTTACTCCATGAAGCCTTTTTCTCTTTTCTCTCAACTAACCTTCACTTCACCTCCTACCTATAGCAACGTACAAATAACTGACTGGTTGCTTTTACATAAATTTTTCTTTTATTTTCTTTTTCTCTAGTCAATTTTTCCTTGCCCCTGAGTCCCCATAGAACTTATTTCTCCCTACTTCGGAATCTGAAGGGTCACCTCTCTGAGCATGCAGGCAGGGCCAAGCTGCTTCGAGCACGTGTAAAGGACAGGGGGCAGGTGGAGGAGAAAACCACTACCATTTTGTAGGGCAAATCCCTCTAAGAGATAAAAGCACTGGTATACATATTCCTCCTCAGAGAGATACATAGTCTTGATTATGAACAGAAACTGCCCTTAGAAGAGTAAAAAGTTTGAAACTGAATAATATGAATTTAAAGAACTGACTTACTTCATTCAACTATGGGAATCTGATAATGCTCTTTCTAACCTGTTATCTAACCAGAAGCACGCTTTTAACCATACTCAGCCTTATGAGATTCAGCGAGAATTACCTGCCCAAATGAGCTCTAGATATACCAAAGAAGACTATGTCAGGGCACATTTTGCTGAGGAAAATAGAGAAAGGAACAGTATAAATGGTGGCCATAAACTCAAATATCTGTGGGAGCAAGGAATGGCAAATGTGTAAATTTGGCTGAAAGTAGGGTAATGGGGGAAGTGGGACCTATGGAAATCCCAAACTACAAGCACTATCTGTTATTAAATTTTTAAGAAATGCATATACTACTCAAGGCAAAGTAAACAAGTCTTCAAGTAAGTGGGCCCACTTACAGTCCCTGGTCTAAAGTGTCTGGAAAATGCATGCTCGGAGGATGCCTGGGAACGGGAGGAAAACACTGTGACAGGCTGAGTCAGAACAGGTACCATTCTGCTTGAGGGAGCATCAGGGAGAAGTCAGTGCAACTGGCCTCATTGAATTAAAATTGCCCATCACAACATAAAGGGAAGAAGCATTCATACCAAATCTTTCTTCTTTTAGAGATTACAACTGACCAATATATCATCCAAAATTAATGACGGCCAGCCCTTCCCCCTTCACTGTAAACCCAACCAACACAATCTATCCCCATAGCATCAATTCGAATTTCCTCACCAACTCATAGCAACAAAAGTATTCTTAATCTGAAGTTAGTATAACATCATTCAGTAGACTTGGGCTTAGTGCAATGGGTCTGGAAAGTCAGGTCAAATCCAGAATTTCCTCTGAAAAACTTCCATTTAAAAAAAAAAGACTTTCTCCTAACCAAAATCTTAGATTTTACATACCTAGAAAGAAAAAGTACAGTGTCTTGCCTGAGGGTTTCAGCCCTGGGCAAGCTCACTATAAATTCAGTGAGACAGGAATGACAATGGAATGTTCTTGGGGAAAAAGGTTTATTACCCGGCTTGTTCTCCCAGTGGTAGGTTGAGCATGAGGATCATGTTTGCACCCAACAGTCCACAGGTCTGTAACCCTTCTTCGTCTCTGCCTCTGCCCAGAGCACTGGGCAGAACTCTTTATATAGTGACTCAGACAATAACAGCCCATTGCCTACTGGTGTGGAAGCAGTAGCCTAGCAGAAGGCCAGTTACATCGTCAAGTAGATTAGGGTCAGATGAGGATCCTGGCCATAGGAATTTCCATTTTCCCCACATACAGGTTTTCTTTGTTAATGGAGCTAATTATAAAAATATAGATAGAAATATTTTATGTTATGTTATTGATCCAAAATAAGGTTTTCAAAACTTAAAAAGAGAAACATATGTGTTATATTAGAAGAATGATAAATATTTGCCACTGAATATTCAATATACACTCATGCAACAATGTGTTCATTTTGTCATATTACTGCAGTACAGGCCATAGAAAGATTTTTCACATATTTTACAGCTGGTCTAGATGCTTTTCGAACATTTCTAAAGTCAGAGTTTAGTGAAGAGAATGTTGAGTTCTGGCTTGCCTGTGAAGACTTCAAGAAAACAGAAAGTGCAGAAAAAATTGCTTCTAAAGCCAAGATGATTTATTCTGAATTCATTGAAACCAATGCCCCTAAAGAGGTAAGTAAAATACTCTAGGATAATGAATATTCATCTTCTAGCAAAGCTCTCAATTAAAAGACATTAAATCCATCTAAAGTGAAACCAAATTGTCACTGTATTCAAATAGAAAATATCTGTAAACTTCAGTAGAAGTTCCTTAAAATTATCCTCTGTCTTTTATGGATTCAGCAAACATTTTTCAACACCTACTATGTGCTGGATATGACAAATATTTCTGTTTTCTTAGCATAACATGCAGGCTCTTGAAAAATAGTGTTTACTATCTCAGATTAAATGTTCTAAAGTTAACCCTCCAGAAATCCTACTTAAATGTGCTGTTAGATTTCACATTCACCTTTGTTTATCATTTTGAGAACCATGCAGGTCAATGTGGAATAAAACTCTTGAATAAAATTTAAATGTTTTTTAAAAGAACAATATAGGGTGGATACAACTACTTACTAACAGTACAAATTCTTGACTTTCAATATTTTGGAGATTCACATTAAGCATGTAATAGTCTTACTCCCCACCCCCTACCGCCGCCACCAAAAAAATAAAAAGGTTTGCTTGCCTTTATTTCTTTGATGGTGAAAATGAGCTAAAGGTGTGAGGCATTATCTCAAGTGATCAGGACCCACCTGTGCTTCTTCAAGATCAGGAAAATAGAAAACAACTTAGAGAGACATCTGGAATGACCTTGCTAATAGCCTCAAAAAATGTTTTATACTTGTGACATCTCATTAATATCTGATTTAATTTCCAGAACCCAAACCATGACTATCTCCACATACTTTATTGGTTAATTTTAAAGTTTAGGCAATTTATATTTTTTAACCACTGAGATTACTCACTGAATATATCATATAAGCAAAGAGTTTTCATGCATAAGTAGCAAGCAGGAAGCTACATTAAACTACTGGTACCAATCATAAACTACTAATAAAAGTCATCTTTCTTATAGAGTGAAATGCCAATATCCTCATAGGTGACAGTTACCACATTTTCTGATCCAAAATTAAGATTTGTGGTATGAGAAGGCTTTTTGTGCTTATGGAGACAAAGGACAGAAAAATGATATGCAAATATTTTCAGAAAGTCTAGGGATAAAGTTGCTATATCACCAGTTCAAGTTTTAGATGGACATTAATTATTGCAGGATATACTGGTCTCATATAACATTGCAGATATATTAACCAACAAAGCATGACCTACAATTCATAGGGGGAAAAAGAAAAGAACTTTAATTTCTATGGAGCTATTTCAACATTTTGCATCACCATCTAAGAATAAATAAGAATCTGGAAAATTGAAAATATAGTATGTGAGATTTTTCAAGTAATGTGTCATTCCCTAAAAGGCTTTGAAATAAACTCTAAAGATGTCCTATTTATTGTGACATTGACCTGAAAGCCAGATTTTTTTCTTATGAGCCCATCTAATAAACAATGATTTTTTTAGGATAACATTCTCAAACATTATATATGAAAAATCTTCTAACAAAAAATGTAATCTTTTCATTAGAGCTGAATTCAAGCAAACAATGTACAATAAATTATCAACTTTGACAAAATAGTTTTGTTTAATCTCCTAGTCTTTTTTTGCAAAATAAATGTATAGTAATAATTTAAATGAATAGTGCAGCTATTTTAGGATTTAAAGCTTTCATAGCATTTTATAATTTCTCCATCTCATTAATTTTGACTAAGTAAAATATAATTAAATTTATGGCTGCTCTTCAAGTAATAGATTATGTTGTCTACTTGAATCCTTGAAGTGTCTAAAAATATTATTATTGGATATGACAAAATTCACTGAAAAAAAGAAGGATCCATGTGGTCCATCAGTTTTATGTTAAGTATGATACAGCAGTTAAGGTTGATTCATTAAACTGATTTTCTGAGTGCCTGTCCTCACAATAAAGTCACAGAGCAGAAGAAGATACTGACATATAATGCTCCCAGTAGAAGATACAGTATGTAATATAATAAAATCACATATAATGTTTATCATTAGCACAGTAAGAAAAAGTACTATATCTATCTGGAGAATTAAGGGATGGATTTGCAGAGTGGTTCACATATGAAAAGATATATCATGAAAAGTGAGTCATATTTATCAAGAAAGCAAATGAAGAAAGAATATTTCAGACTGAAGGCACAAGATAGCATGGAGGCCCAAAACTCCCTGAAAATTACAATCATTTTGATATTGCTAATGAGGAGTAGATAGATAGCAAAAAAGATAAAAAAACCATGGGAAGAATTCTAGGTTTATCTTATAGGCTTAACAAGACTTACCAAGACAAGGTAATGTATTTGATATGGTAGTTGGAAAATATAATTTTCATAAGTAGAAAATTAATTCAAGATTGAGATCCATTTGAGACTATTCTCCATTTTATATATTCGATTATTGTTGTACAACTGACTTTTATAAAGAATCAAAATTATAACCAATTTCCTTGGTTGACAATGTTAAAATAAAGAACAATGAGGTCATCTTATCCATATGTCTATTAAATTCCATTTACTTTCTTTTCAATTTCTTGTGTCTTTACTTCTTCATCTATAAAATTGCTAGCATGATTTAATAATTTTTAATTGATGCAATTAGGCAATTTGCAATTAGACCACACTACCCTTACTAAATGATCCCTGTCTTTAAATTGACATCACTAGCCCTTCTCAGCTTCCTGTTCTAACAAAGACTACACACAAAAGTTGAACTTTCAGTTTCTCTGAGAGATGATAACAATTCCAACTGGATATTATTCTCTTTCTCTCACAATGTCTCCTTCCATATGGTTTCTACAGTAATAAGCACTTTCAGTTTCTACAGTAATAGGGTGATGTAATGGAAAACCTAAAATTTGAAAATATCTAGACCTCTAAGTTCAAATCCTGTAATTCTGTGGTAAACTCTCTGAACCTCAGTTTCCTCTCTAAAAATGTGTCAATAAAAAGTATTAACAACTACACAGAATGATGAAAATTCATGTGTCTAGAGTTTAAATTATGCAGAATGGCTTTTAAGAAATTGTAATCCTTTTATTTAACAAATCATTATAAATCAACCCAAAAACAACCATCAACAAACTTGAGAACATTTGAAGATAAGCAACTTTAAAAGACTAGATAAATATATATACATGAACACATGTTATAAAAACATATTAACAAAAACACTAGTTTCAGATAAAAAGAGCTACTCACTGAATGGATTGTACCTAGTCAGTTTCAGAAGAAAACGCTGAGAGGAAAAAAAATAGGTCTGAGCCAGGTATTTCAACTAAGTGATATGAAAATGAGAAAATTTTTAGAAAAACAATATATATTTTAAAGGGTCTCTATTTTGCACACAGTAAGAACCTATGAGTGACAAAGGAAAAACTTACACTTGTATTAATTCTTCATTCAATTTGGACCACTAATTTCATAATATTTGGAAAGTTTCAAGAAAAAATATTACTTGGTTTCAAGAGAATGTAAATCTTCAAAAATTTTAAATAATATTTTCATGGTCAACTTAGGACACTGGCATACTTTAAATATTTACACTATATTCATATCGTTGTTACTTTATATTGAAAAACAAATTGGTCAGCATGAAAAATATGTGATCAAAAGAAGTTTATGTTGTTATCCTGTGAGATTAGAAAATGTTCCAAAATATAGTATAGTGTAATGTTTAAAAATTATATAAATTCAACTTCACATTACCACCACTCCAGGAACAAATATATTGGAAAGTTTTTAAGCCCAATAATATTAGTACAAAATATTTAATTCTTAAATGCATTAATTAAATGTGAGGACCATAACTCATAAAACAAAGAAGAAACTGTAGTCATAAAGGAGAAGATATCTTAATGGATCTGTGCAGGACTTGTTTTTAATATCTGCGTCTGGTTTTTATTTTTATTTTTAATGCAGTAAATATTATTTATTGACTTATTTTATTTCACATTAATATGTTTGTTCTGTGCCTGCAATTCACTTCCTTATAAGATAAAGTTCCTCCATAGAAGGGAAGTTCAGTCTAGGCAGGAGAACAGATAATAAACTAATAAGTATAAGGCAATGTGTTGTGTGAACTAGGCAGCTCAATAAGGAAATGAAAAACAAAATAGGTCAGAACTATGATTTAGCTCAGAAGAAACTGTCAATCTAGTTGATTTAAAGATGAAATGTATAGAACTAGTCAAAAATAGCAAAACAAGTAATCAGGTGCAAAAGATAAAGTATCAGATGAGATTGTTTGCATTATGCATAAAGGATATAATGATTGAACAGTAATGACACCGGATACTGAGATATGGCCTTTATTTTAAATGGCCTTTAGTTTTAAATTGAGTCTTAAGTGAAGAAATAGATATGTGAATTATTGGTAACAAGAAGCCAGTGAAAATGGACATTTGGAGGCATTTCTTAATATTACTATAATACCAACTTTTCTCCATTTTACATTCACATTTTTTTCTTTGCATTTTAAGTGCCATTCCCCCAATGTGTTGATGTTATTTTTGGTTTTAGTCTTGCCCCACAAATTGCTGCTTGCCAACAATACCCCCAACTATAGAATTATCCCCAGATATAATGAGTCTACTTATTAATTTCCTAAGTTTTTGTACACTAATCAATAGTTAAGTGTCTATTATATGCCAAGTACCATACTGGTGCCCCTAAGAAAAAAGACAGAGTCCCTGAATAGAAAATACTGTCTTGATGCGAAGACATCAGATAAAGATAATAACAATAAACTCCTGTGAGCATCATGACAGGGAAATACAGGTGACGTGGTAGCTCGCAGCAGGAAAATCCATGTCTATGGGGTCAGGAAACGTATCTCAAAAATGTAATTCATAAGCTTTGACCAGAAATTTAAGCATAGAGGGAAACAAGAGAAGAAGGGAGGAGGGAAAGAGGAGAGGAGGAGCCGAGCAAAGGACCAGCCCATGCCCCCAAGGCTAGTAAGGAAGCCTGGTGCTGGGTGTCTCTGAGTGTGCCTGTACCTCC